TTATAGAATGTACAGTGAGCTGCACATACACAGCTATGTTTATATTTCATTACACTGAATTTGTACCAGTATGACTGCACTCCTGCGCATGCTTAGGACTTACATCATCCCACTCTAGTAAAGTGGTTGTAAACCATTACATATACCTAGTGAAGTGACTGGCCTTAGGTGATACACAGAGATTAATCAAATCCTCCTACATACGTTGTAAGTGTTTATCAATAGTCTTCTCTTCTGTACATCTGTTCAAAGTGCACAGCTTGTATGAGCTTTCAGGAAGCAGGGGATGTTACATTCAATGAGAGCTGATTGGAATGAAGGAACAAGCCCCCCTTCACACAGGAACAGAGCTGAGGTTGTCAATCACAGGGTGCTGGTGCTCCCTCCCCTGTCACCATTTTTCTCTTGGTGTCAGGAAAACTTGTCAGAAGTGTTTTATGCTGATTGCAGAGGAACGAGGCAGTAGACAGAAATGATACATAGGAGGAAATGTACGAAAACTTGAGCACTCAGAATCTGATGCAACAATAGTCAATCAGAATCTAATTTCAGCTTGTTTAATTAAGCGTGACAATAAATTCTGGAAGCTGATTTTTTAAGGTTTTTAAGCAGAGCTGCACCACACAGTTTTAGTAAGTAACTCCCTTCGTCCTTTTAACTGAGACCAGTACACACTATAGAAGGATATGTTTTGTTCATATCTCATGTCTGAGGTTTACAACCACTTTAAAGGATAAATTGACCTTTGGAACATGTTAAACATTCCACCTGTTTTTAGGGTGTAACTTCCAGCATCTGCACCCTCTCCCCCTGTGACAGCAGATGGAGGATCTTCTCCTTGCACCTGCTATCACAATTTGAAAACAGCTCAGCTTTGCAGGGCTCCACCCACACAGCCATGTCATTCATTCACAGTTTCCTGTGTATGAATAGCCTACAAGTACCATCTTCCATTGCAGCTGAAACCTTGTCCTTCTCAATGAACTGCAAGGGTGCTGGTGAGTAGAACATTGATTCTTCGGCTCTCAAGTAACTGTCTGCCCTTAACCTCCCTAGCGGTCTGATTATGTCAGTATTTCTGTACTCAAAGCGGTACATTTTTTTGCATGGAAATATATAGTTTTTTTTATTGTAGGCCTGTAATTTTTAGGAATAACTCACCCAAGAGTCTAGTAAACATCCCGGGTATGTTAAACTTTGAAACACAAAATCAAAAATTATAATTTAATAATAATCATAAAAAATAATAATATAATTTAATTCAATAATATAATCAAACCAAAAACACTGAAATTTGAAATATAGCGCCAAGTTCGCACATCACTGAGCTTAGTCGCAAAATCGTTTTCAGTGTCTGATGACGAATTTCCCCACGAATCATTATCACTCAATTCTGCAAGTGGTTCTAATTTACTATCGCTGTTCTCTAGCTGGTCTAAAACCGCTTTTGACCTAAAGGGACGCTTTTTGGATACCATGGACACTTCTCAGTTTCCAGGCAGAAAGAACAGTAAAAATGCAGGCAGGACACAGGACAAAGCACTCGGGACAAAATGTATGTGAAATGCTTTGATACAGTAATGTTTTACTATGTGATTTAGTGAATGTCATTTTTTTACATTTTTAAATTTCCCACCAGTTTCGTCCCCGTACGTCCCGACGTCATAGGGAACGGAAGACGGATGCCGGCATCGGCCGGAGGACATTGCAGGGGGGACATCGCGGGAGCGCAGGACGAGGTAAGTGATTGAGAGGTCCCAGGTCACAGAGCAACGCTGCAGGGTATTCCCGAGTGTAGCTCGGGGTTACCGCTTGTGCTGCTGAAACTTTAACCTGAGCTAAAACTCGGGAATACCTCCAGGGAGGTTAAGAGGTATGGGCAAACTGCTATCCTGAGAGTCTGCAGGAGCCTAACATTGCACCTGCGATCTGCTGATCACGGATGTAATGCTCTGCAGGCTCCTTAGAAAAAAAAATAATAAATGCACTTTTTTTTTAATCTGAATAAAATGTGCATTTATTATTTTCCAAAAGGTGAACTTGGCCTTTGAGTCAGGAATATACCAGCACCCAGATAAAGCTGAGTAGAAGATGCTAGGAAGGGACTTCACAGGTATCATAATGTTGGAACTGAACTACTTGTACCTTTTTAGCTCCACTTTAAGGGCCCATTTATATGGGTAGTAAAAACAGGCCAATTATGAAAAAAAAAAGCTAATGCTACTACCCATCCAAATCAGCATTAGCAGAGCTGACGGGTGCCTGATTTGCAGTCGCCCAGCTGTGCACAATTATCCATAAAAGTGATCCACACCCCCGTTGTTACTCTTTAACATGTTGCTTTCTTGTGTAGAAACCACAGTGTAGAAATCGATAATACAATAAGTCGACGCGTTTCAGCTTACACGGCTTTAGTCATCGTAGTAAAAACAGGTGTTTGAGCCACAGTTTTAAAGCTCCCCAGCCGCCCCTCTAAAAGATAACATGGCAAGAGGAGGCT